AATCTTGAGGTACATTTAGGATCAAACGGTTATACTCTCATTCAGAAAGCATGACTTTTTTCTCGGGCGCTCATAACGATTCAACACTTCCACGAGCGCTTGCTTACTGAAAGCTTTTAAATAGGACTGCAACAGTGCGATTAACCAAAAAAAAACCTTCTCTCAACTTCTTCACTTAGCCCGTATTACGCATTTCCTTCACAAAATTCTGCTATGAAGGCTCTTGTAAGTTGGTTTATTGAAAGCAGACATGATTTTCTGGATATAGCATGTAAATATCTGCTGTACTTTTTTCATGTAGGTCTACGTATAACACTGCTAAGCCCATAGATTTAACTTAAATTTGCCTTGAATTTCCTTCCAGATTTGGCATGGCAATAGTCGGTGCCGATGATGTTTCCTCTTACATGCCCTGTGTCTGAGAATATATTCTCCAGTTAGCTGTCCGTTCACGTTGAAAAACACGTAGTCATGCATGTTTAGGTTTTCGTGATGCAGAATAGTCGATTTCGAAATACATGTAATGTTTTTAACACACGTGTATTCACTGATTTTTTTTTTAACTGACAAGTCCAAGATAGCGTGAAAAACATTGCACATGCCAAGGCATGCCCATTTTCTGTTTTCAGATTTCTGAAGGAGGAGTGACATTAGGCCTAGATGTACACAAACCACCGCGCTAACGACCAAGAAAAATGTTTGGTATAGCTGTCGTTCGTCATAGCGATTTTCAGTCACAGTTTTCCCAGCTCCAGCCCATTCAAACGTGTTGCAGCCTGTCCCACAAAATGTTTCGGCATGACGATTTGGGCCAACACTTTACAAGCAAAAAATTAGAGAACAATGAAATACTTACATTTTGCCATATTTGTTCATCTCCTTTCATGTTTACCTTTTGGGTAGTCCCTGCTGGAAGCAGAATCGAGAAATAAACTCAGGTTTTCCTTGAGTCATCGTTTAAAATCGCATGCGCCATTCAGTACGGTTTACACTCACTGGTTGCTGCTGGTAAAATGACACTCTAGTGAATGTGCCGCGCCGGGAACCACTGCATTAGTAACCGCCCGAATTGTCTTGCAAGCGTTTTGAAAATGATTGAAACTAGCAAGATATTTATCGAAGATATCTGCGAGTTAAATTTAATAGTAGGGTGTACTTTCGTATTTTTGTTCTGTTTGGTGATTTCTGAAGTCAAATCCCACGGCTTGCAGTGATTATCATGCAAAGTTTTCCGCACCAGAGTTGTTAGAGTTGCATAGTAGGTCCACATGGCCGCCTGTGGAGACATGCACATCAAGTGCCAATGTACAGTATACCCATGAAAGATATATACCGCGTTTCGTATTTACCGATGTTTCATGGCAAGTACGATTTTTCTCAACTTTTGAGTTTACTTTAATAACTCCTAAATATCTTTCTTTTATTTAAACAAATATATTATGTTCGATATGGGGAACGCACGAGGGGATGTTCGATATACCCGAATGTATAGAGGTTTTTCTATTACTGACCTTTCTCTCGGTAGCACTACATAGAAGCATTTCTCTTTTAAACAAAGCACGCTGCTGGTTTTCAAGCTTTCGTGTAACTTGCCCAACTGCTGTTTTTATCAAGTGGGCAAAACAGCATCCCTGAATGTTGAGGGACGTTACAAAATTACTCAATTATGGTACAGGGGAAAAATGCAGCAGATTTTGCTTGTCTCGCAAAGCTGAACAATCTCAGCAAACTGTGGTAATAAACACTGGACCTTGGCACATATTGGCACACAATTGCGGCAGGCAATTTTCTGCTATTGAACATGTAGGCTCAGGTCCTATTATTGACTAGGCCACTCCCAGAGAGCCTTGGCAAAATTGTCACGCTTATTTAACCATGGTAATCAATTATACAAAACTCTAGCGATCACTCATGCATTTAACCAGTCCACATCCATCCTTCTAAAACAGCGTCCACACCACTATGCAGGCAGGAAATAAGTGAGCAGAGATACTAAATATTCATGAGGCTTAAAACTTTCAACCAATTGGACTTGAGAAATAAAACACACACAGAGACTGGTTTTACAGGAAGTTTTATTCACTCACAGGGAAAGTATGGAATAAACTGACTAAAGGAAATAAAAACACAGGTAAAATGTGACCTTTGAGGTGACCTTCATAAAGCCCCCTTCTATATACCTCTCCGATTTAACCGGTACATTCATCTTTGTCAGCTGTTTATTCTATTTGTTCACTGGCCTTGGTCAAGGCCCAACGACTATTTTTTTTACCGTTCACTAGATTTTAATACCGTTCACTTGAAGCGTTCGAAGGTAGTGTATGATGATTGGTGGCTGGTCCTTGGCCTTAACGTTAACAGCCAACCAGCGATCATCGAACATTAGCGTGGAAATCCTTGACAAAAGCTGATGAACCGAAGGCACCCGGATCCAACTGCTAATAAACGGTGCTTTTAAAGGAGAACACCATCTCTGAAGCGTGCCAGCACTAATAATCAGATAATGTGGTAAACGGATGCCTCTCTAATTGAAGCCCGCGTCCATGAGCCTGCGTCCATGAGCCATTGAAGTGAGTGTTTTTTCCCCCCCTTGAGTGGGCCTTAAACCAAATTCAAGGTTACAAATTAGTTTCGCATCAGTAAATTAAAACCCTTTCAACATTTACCTTTTGCAACAGAAAACAGACTTTACAAATATGACAAATAAGTACCGCATGGCCCATGGACATCCTCATAACCTATCCTATCCCCTATACACCAGACACGCAAGCCAACAAGACTGAACTTTCTTTTTTTCCCGTCATTTCGTGCCAGTGACCACACACAATATGCTGAAGCTGTAACGTCATTCATGTTGCTATTATAAAGCATAACCCTGCTGACACCTTCAAACATGGCATTTCGCATTAAAAGCCTCGTTTATTAGCTATGGTGGTTTGTCAGATCAGGGTCAAAGGGCTGTAATGGCCTGTGAACGGCGCGAATCAGCTCTGTACACAGTTTGTTTGCTTCTGTTCTTCTTACATCTTAGTCATTTTGGCATGTAGGGGCTGGTAAAACTCTGACTGGAAGTCTGTACATAAGCAAAAGAAGTGTTAAATAAATATGTCGCGGCTTCCGCTGCTGCTGCCACTTCAATCAATAATGAATTCTACCAAATACCCTCTTTAAAAGTAACCGGCATATGTACATTTTTAGATTAGATCTGAAACCAGATAGGGTGATATAATTTTTTTGTACAATTTTGACCACCAGCAGGCCATGTGAGAGGTGTCTGTTCGCATAATGTATTTACATATTTCTTTATATCTGTTACTTACATAGTTAACTATTTAATTAACAACTATAACTTGGTTTAACAACAATTAACAATTATAATTACAACTTGGTTTACCTAATAGTTATATGATATCAAATAAATATTTCTACATACAATGCTTACTATACGATCCTTGTCTAATTACAATTCATCTGCAATGGCAATTCAACTGAGAGAGGCAAACTACTGAGATACTTAGTCCCCTACTTAGGTTGAAGGGGGACTCCAGGTTTTTATAGATCTAAAATGATAATCAGTTTGAGGCCCTTGCGGCTTGAAGTAATTTATTGCCACTGGACAGTGTGTCCGGTTGTGCCCTTTTAGTTTTGTTAAAAGACCCAGCTAATGTGGCCAACCTGTTGGAGTGTAGGGAGTGGACAAATGGTTTCGAGTTTACTTTCGTTGGAGCAGTTGAGCCGGTCGGATCATTGTTCATTTAGCTTCTGGTATTAAATTTTCTAACGAACCCACCCCTCCCCTTTCAACTACCTGAGGGAAATACAACTTAGAGCGTATTTATTTCGGGCTAATCGTCGGACACAGTTCGGGAGCTTTAACTCGGCTCAGTCGCCGTCTGCTTTGGGGCCGGGAGGGGATTTCTCCTTTTTTCCTCGTTACACAAACGTCACAGCAAACGATTTTGCGTTTTGGGGCGTTTTTCATTCTCCCCAGAATGGAGTCCTGCCGTTTTGCGGAATTTCACTCTGAACAACAGCAGAGACCTTAGGTGAGATCACCTTTGCGACGAGAATTTGATATAATCACCAGAGGGTTTCTCATACTATCTAAGTACGGGTACTATCAGTTGATTTATCAACAAACTGTTTTATTAAATCGATAGCTGTATAGTTTGGTAAGTTGTGTGCGTCTTGAACAAGTTAGGATGTTTCGTGCGGGGGGGGGTGCATAACGACCGGGAACACGCTTGGCAATTGGTTGGATAATTTTGGCGTTATTGTTCCGCGGGGGCATAAGGACCGGAAACTCGCTGTTGTAATATTTTACTTTTGATGGAAATTTTGTGCTGCTGTTCTGCGGGGTGATTAACGACCAGGAACACGAATTGTATGCAACGAACTCAGATTGTAATCCGACCTGAAATCAAAACTTCTCTGGCCATACGTAAACAATCTGAATATATATACATATATCATAATTCATGCTGTCTCTGCGTATGTGGCAATAATACATTTATATTTCTTTATATCTGTTACTTACATGGTTAATTATTTAACCAACAATTATAACTTGGTTTAACAACAATTAACAATTATAATTACAACTTGGTTTACCTAACAATTATGTAATATTAAATAAATATTTCTACATACAATGATTATATTATATGATCCTTGTCTAATTACAGTTAATCTACAATTGCAATTCAACAGAGAGAGGCTGAGTTCTGAGATACGTAGGCCCTATACTTAGGTTCAGGGGTACTCAAGGTTTTTATAGATCTAAAATGATAATGACTTTATATTTCTTTCTATCTGTTACTTACATGGTTAACTATTTCATTAAAATGACTAATAACCTTAAAACAACAACTGAAATTCCAAATGTTTTCAGTCAACGAATACACACGGACTCTCTAAAGTGTTGCGTTTACAGTCTATGATCGACTTCAGATTCGATTCCTCGTTTCACTGCAATATGATCTTCTCAAGAAAAGACCCGTTTAACAAGAACTGTCGATAGGTCCTGAACCAGGGCAAAATGCGTGAATAATAGCCTTTCGATAGCGCCTGTTTGAAAACGCATAAACGATAGGGTTGGTCACAGAATTCACGTAAAGAAGAACATTAGTTGAAATGAAAAGTATGAACTCCACATTCCGAGGAAGGCCCGGGGCACCAGCGAAACGCCTGATGTAATAATAAAGTGTCAGCAAGGTGCGAGGAGTTAGGAGCATGTAGAACACGGTACCAGCGATCACCAGCATCTTAGCTACGCGATCTCGGGTGCGCCGAGATCTCCCTGGATTCGAGGACTGTTCGCCGGGCGCCTTGCGAATCCGGCTGCTGAGCTCACGCACAATAAGAAAGTACAAGACAAAGGTAACAAAGACAGCCAACAAGTTAGGCACAGTAAGAGCAATAGCTGCCAGTACCTGCGCCCACAGTGCTGGGAAAAAGCAGCTGGCGATAGTCTGAGGAAAGTTCATGAAATGATCGTCGTCAGGCCACATGACACATGTAACTTTGTAGTTGGACGTAGCCGGAAGCAGAAGAGCCTCGCAACAGATGGCCACTGCCCATGTCACAGCAATTAAGGCCATAGTACGCCCTCTTGAGTTGATACTTAGATGTTTAATTGGTTGACAAATGGCAAGGTATCTTTCGGCCGCTACAACAGTCACAAGTAATGTTGAAGCGACAAAGGGCGTCGCGTTCAGCACCTGTGTAATGATACAGCCGTGGACTCCTCCAAGAATGGAGAAATCACTCGTCACTGGAGTCGACAAGAACTTCCAAAGGCCAAAGCCCGCCCCTGTAAAAGTAAAGAAAAACCACTAAGAAAAGGGTCTTTAGTAAACTACTAACAAAGAGTTTCCACGAAATATCAATCGAAACAGTTCATGAAAATTTTACGGCTGGGCGCTCGTGGCTAACTTTATAAGTAATACAACTTTCTAGAAAAGGAAAGGTTTTATGGGGACATTTTCAACCAAGTTACGCAGGTTATGTTAAAACAGATTTCATATTAATGTCTTAATTAAGCTTCCTGATGAATATTCTGGATCTAAAAAGAATAACATTTGAGTGTTACGTGCTGTTATCTTTGAATTTTTGGGTCAAGGTTTCTTTTACGGATAACCGTGTTTAACTAGGATAAAATATCCTAATCATAATCCTATTCATAAATGCGCACCCTTAATGTGTGTGGCATCTCATGTGATAGTACACTGGAAATGACGTTGGATGTACACCCGTTAAAAAAATGTTTACGCTTCGTGTCACACGCATGGAGAGAGAGAGTGCGGCGTACGGCCGTAAAGTATAAATGAAAGTACCTAAACATCTCACAGTCTCCTTATTCAGCATTGTGCAACTTGACCGTGTACAGAATATACACATATTATGGACTGGCCAAGTTCGTCACTAGTGGAGGTCTATGTCGACGAGATTCTTTGTAAGTACCCAGGAGAGGGTCCTATTTCCTGGGGCCGAAGGTAAATGGACGTGACTAATGCGTCCATTAGTCGCATCATGAGTGAGCCGGTCTCAAACGTCACCGGCGTTTGAGACCGGCCAAGTACATATTTATTCCGTCATTAAACAACTATATCATACACGGTAACTTACAATGAATTGAATACAGACGCTATCAAATTGTATGTTTGCGTACATGCCAAGTTTAAAAGAAATCGGGCACGGGACAGCGAAGATCGTGGGGCGGCTGTGAGACCGTCCAAAAGAATGCTCTTTTAGGGTAAACTAAAGAACTGTTTTTTCTCATTTGCATGTTTTTTATTTTGTCCCTTTAACGCTCTGCGTACATACTACAGAATGAATGATGCGCAGTGCTTTCCGCCACCAGCTGTTTTCTCTCATTGTAAAAAGTGTCTTAGAAAAAGGAATTAATTCATCTTTTTCTTGAATGTGACTAATTATTTTTGTCAACGGTAAATATAACCTGTTTCAGTATGATTTCCTCTTTTTTATGACATCAAGAAATCCACATTTCTATCACACGTGATTAAACACCACAAGGTTTAATGAACTGTGTCAGAAATGGCTTTGCACCAGATTTATGACAGGTTTGCACAGCGTGAAGCATGAGGTACACTGCCAAAATCATTAATTCAAAGATAACAACAGCTAGAGGCTTACTTATTTTTGCCGCAGCCTAATCCCAGGGTCCTTCAACATGCCCCGATTTCTTTGAAAATAAACTTTTACACTTTATCTTATCGCTTTTAAATGAGTATCATGCATTTGGAGATTCCGGAAAGTATTACATAGTATTACATTCTGACAAAAAGCCGCTCTGGACAGACTCATTTCAACATCCAAACAGCTATTTTGTGAAAAGCCATTTCTGACTTTGCCCATCAAACCGCTCCATGTTCAGTAATCTGTGACGGAAATTCGGATTTCTTTGTGTCATACGAAAGAGGACGTCATAATGAAATAATGACAGTTACCATTTAACAAAATAAATAGTCACATTCAACAAGCAAGCAATTCGTCGTGTGCCTGGGAGAAGGACGTAGGCCTATAAGTGCTTAGGCCCTTTTGCCGGGAAGCATGATCATTGCAAAAAAAACTTTTCACGGCAAAAGGCCATTTTTAAAATGAAATATAAAGATTTTTTGGCAAAAAGGTTTTTTAAATTTCCCAAGTGGTTTGATAAGCTGTTAAAACTAAGGTTACTTTTTGTACAGCCCATGTTGATTTTGTAATAAATTAATTTTTATCCGTTCTTACTAAATAAAGACATCTTACGCACTTTTGCTGGGAACATTTTTCTGCTGTGATCATGCTTACCGGCAAAAGGGCATAAGTGGCGTCGCTCAGAAGAAGCTAGTATGAGTGATTCACCAGCATATTGACGATGCAGAAGGGGATGAAATGGGGGACTTGGAGGATCTCGCGTAATGAACCGAATTGCAGTACCCGTCATTGTAAAGCATCCTTCACTTTTTTTAATGAATCTTGGGAAAGGAGGTGCTGTGGGGTATAGCTCTTGCGCTGTGCCCTATGGTACTTCGACAACTCGGTGACTTAATGTGATTCGCCACGTTTTCCCCTAGTTCTGTCAGGAGACTTTTTTCCTTGTCAAACATTTCTCTAGCGATAATAAAATGTTTGCATTTTCTTTGATTTCTTGGTTGCTTTTAGTTTCCTAAAGTTATAGCTGATCCACGCGTTCCCTTGAGTTGATTAAATTTCTTGAGCTCTGACGTAATTAACACAAATTCTTCGTGAGAGATGTCTCCATCACTGATGGCCTGAGACACATCGTGTTTAGTTTGGCATCGGTCAAAACTCGTATTTGATCGTATTTGATTTACGTTCAGTCTGATAAACGCTCCAAAAGCTCCGATGTAGGCAGCTTCTAAAACGACCCAACAGAGGCAGAAATAGTGCTATAAGATGGCGGGGATACCCACAGCTGACGTTTCGACTCCGTATTCTACGTATTTTATTGCGGTTAACGGCCTCTTATTTTTTTGTAAGACGTTTCTCTTTCTACCCACTCTGTTAATATCAGGGATTTGATGTCCTCATTTTTGGAGCCTGAAAATGTTTGTTTCTTTTAGATTGGATTGTAGCTTTTCACTCATTGCTTGTTTTAATTGTCATATATTTTAATTATTTCTAACTCGATCAAGACTCCAGCGACTTTATTGTTTATGAATTCTCCTCTCATTGAAATATTGAAGTTAGTCATTTTGTCAGTTTTAAATCTTTTTGACGTGTTGCTTTAACGTCTTCAACCTCTATGAATATACTACACAAGTCTAAGAGTTGACCGTTAAATAATTATTGCTGGTGTTTAACTCTCGGCAGTGGAGATATAGCTCACTGAAAGAACTCACGTTTATTTTTCCTTTATAAATAACATTTGGAACTAGCCTCCCTTTCGGTAAATTGAGCAGTTTTGAAACTTCTCGCCCCAACCGCAATTTAAAATTTACGTCCGTCACCATCACGCCTGAAATGGCGTTTAAATAAATTTCAATCAATTTTGTAACATTTTGGAGGAATATAACGATGCTACCGCGCTCTGCACCCTGTAAGAACTCACTGGTTTTCTACGTGTGGAGCTGTTGCATAATACACCATTGAATCTCAAAACTAAAAGAGTATCTCTGATTCTGTTTCAGCGCTTCTAATTATTCTCGTTCTTTCGTCGGAATTGTCCTCCATAAATCCCTCCTGCATGAAATTCGATGCAATACGGTGAGCTTCCTTAATAATAACTTCTCTTTCTAGTCAAAAGCAACAGGAAATCGATCATGTTTTGTTGCTACTCTGAAAGTCCTTTTTCTTCGTTTTTTTCCTCCCAAAATTTGGTTTTTTTAGCTTCGACGTTACCTATTTTTTTGTTTAATGGTATCGCTAAATTCTTCTAGATTTCCTGCCTCGTAAGCTCGAATGAATACATTTATCACGTTATCAAACAAGGTCGCAGTGTCTTCCTGTATTAAATTCATTCATGGGCAGAATCTAATCGATTGTTAAATGCTCGCGTCGAGGTCTTCTCTTGTGTAAGTGGCTTTGGCTGTCCACTGGCGGGTTCCCCCATGGCCTCTTTCAGCGCGGGGTCTGCCGTCTAAGTGCGTTTGCCAATCGATTTTGGTGGCGTGTAATGTAAAAATACCCAGCGTGAAACATCACCTTTCAAGTTTTAACGCGAATGCGCTTCGATATCGTCTTATTATTTAAACGCCTGCTCGTTTTGAGTTAAGTAAAAAGAGTGTTCCATTTTAAAAAGAAAAAAAAACCGCTTTTTAAAGAAATAGTTTATTAAAGATAAAAAACGGGAACCAATTTCAGTCACTTGGCTTTTTTTGGAAACAAAGACAACCTTTTTTTCTGCTGAGTTTCCCAAATTGACAAAAGCGTACAAACTCCCGCGTGTAACAACAGACGAAGCTGAAAATCGTTATCCAGCGACCCTTGGATGTTTTATTAAAACCTGTTTAAGTTTTCTGTGTATTATGCATCGACGGCTTGTGGGGTCGATTGGGGCCTCCTCAACGACAAAGCCCTTACGTATCAGCCCTGTTTTAAGTTTGACTGGAATTTTGATTTTGACTATGCGAAATGACTGCACCCATACCGGGAAATGACTTCTTTGACCCATTAGGCCTAAACAATCATTACGATAACAGAGCGTTTTTAGACACCTGTTAATTGCCTTTTTAACATAGACCCAAAAAGTCTTCTGAACAAACTCGGAATATCATATCAAACGGTTTGGGCACTGTTATTTCTTACAACTCAGACACTATGGTGTACCTTCCGGCTCCAGGCAAAAACTGAACTATGACACCCACGACTTACCTCTAGGCCTACACCGTACGGAAAGTATTTAGGCGGCACTTATAATTAAGTGCCTGTTCCTCCCGCAGAATCGGGTCGCTATAGTGATTATACCTTGACTTGGATTGAGCTGTCTGACGTTGTCACAAATGCCTGGTGGGACTTTGTGCCCTAAACGTCCAGTTTTACCAATATAGGCATCACAAAAATCACACAAATCGACGCTTTGTTAGGGAGCACAAGCTCCAAAAAAACCCCAGCCTGTTGACACCTGGCACTGGGTTAGACGGGCCAAAACAGTTTATCACCATTGTGTTTCAATTAGACTCCCCGCAATACGCCAAAACGTCCTTGACCTTTGTCGTTCAACCCGGATTACACTCCCACCTGGTTCCTTCTGACATGGACTTGAGAATAGGGACAATCTGCAAGGGGCATGCAAACGGGGTATCAACCAGCTTTAAATTCACCCAACCCGCCTGTTAACCTTGACCT